ACATTTTGTGAGATGCTCATGGTCCCTGGGAACTAATCGACCTAGGAGGGCAAGGAGCAAAAAGTGTCCTTTGTGTCCCTCTGACCCAATTAGTATAGATCTCAAGGTATGTCTGTTAAACATCCAAGAAGGTTAGTTCCACCATGCTGGCATTTTTAATTACTGTGTGTCCTGCAGATAAATCTTGGGTAATGACCGGTTGGTCTCAAATAAACCTTATCTAGAGATATATTTCTTGATCTGTTAAGTATAATTTGTCAGTAGATTGTAGGAATAATATGGTTACCTCTGGTTTTCGTGACTCGCTAGGCATTGTTTCTTTAAAAAAACACATGGGTTCTGGGGATCAAACTCTGTCTTCTTGCTTGCAAGTCAAGCACCTTACTAGACTGAGCTATCTTCCTAGCCCAGAGCTGTCCTTTTTTACAAAATAAACTCAAAATTATTTTTGCCTAAGATGTGTGGCTCCTCACACTGTCTTCTTTATCGGGGGTAAATATAGCTCTTATTTTACCTCTGTAGTTTGATCCTGTGGCCTATAGGATTGAACCAATGGTGGTCCCAGAAGTAGAATTTGAGCCAATGCTGATCCCACATCATAAAGGCAGGAAGCGGATGCACTTAGGTAAGTCTGTGTGTCAAACTTTAAAATTCGAGATCTTCTGATGTACAGACTAAATGGACTTCATTTTGTTCTGTTCTGCTAGGCCTCATGCTCTTTATACCATTTAGCATTCTTTATTCATTTGTGTTTCAGAACTAAGAGAGGGCTTGACCAGGATGAGTATGGACCTTAAGAACAATTTGCTAGGTTCACTGAGGATGGCTTGGAAGTCTTTTACCAGAGCTCCGTACCCTGCCTTACAACCTTCAGAAACAGCAGAAGACACTGAAGCAGAACCTGAATTAAGTTCAGAAAAGTCCAGTGGTCAGTGATGTTGCATATGGAGTAACTGTGAGGGACTCTGGTTTGAAGTTCTTGTTCTCCCGAGTCTTTCCTTTCTTTTTCAATTGTGTAGGAGCTATAGTGTGAGTCAGAATTGTCCTTGGGCTATGCTAACCTTACCTATAATCTTAATAGCCATGGGTATACCTGGTGCCCACAGAGGCTAGAAGGGGAGTTGGATCCCCTGGAGCTGGAGTTACAGGTGGTTGTGAGCCACCATGTGGGTGCTGGGAACCAAACTTGGGTCCTCCGTAAGAGCAACAACTGCTCTTAACTGCTGACCCATCTCTCAAGCCCCAATACATTTCTTTTATAGTATGAATGTGTATTTATGGGTCAGTTTTATTTCCATCATTAAAGACTAGTAGGATATTCCCCACACAGTTTACTAAAGAGAGTACCCCTGCTTGCATTTAGTTTAGTTTATAAAACTCAAGACACATTATTCAGCTGTCGAGAGTACAGGTGATGAGATGTGTTGAGCAAAGTAAAGAAGAGATTGAATAAAATTAATGTGGCGTAAGGAGATTTAAGGAAATAGAGAGGAAGAAGACAGAAGAGGTAGTCTCCTAGCAGAGTACCTCACCATAAGGTAAAATTGTAGTCTGAGGGGAATTAACAGGAAACCCCTAGAATGCTGAAAGCTTTTAGGTAGGGGGTGTGTACATGTGCATGTTCATGTATGCATGTACATATGTGTGTGTATGTTTGTGCGCACACATGTGGATACCAGAGGTTGTCATCAAGTGTCATCCTCAATTTCTCTTCACATTCAGGAAAGGATCTCTCCCCAGGGATCCTCTTGACTTTCCCTCCTGAGTGCTGGGATTACCGGCATGTGCTAGCATGCCTGGCTTTTACACGGGCACTATGGATCTTAATTCAGATCCTCATGCTTGCATGGCAAACACTTTACCAACTGAGCCATCTTTCTAGTCCTTTATTTAGATTCTTATGATGGCTCTTCTATATCCAGATGTTAATATAGAAGAAACTCCTCTGGCAGTTAAAGAAGAAGCTCCACCCATCAATGTGGGAATGCTGAATGGAGGCCAACGCATTGACTACGTGTTACAGGAGAAGCCCATTGAGAGTTTTAATGAGTATTTATTTGCTTTACAAAGTCATCTGTGCTACTGGTAAGTGTTGTATGATTTTTTTCTGGTGTCCTTATCTAGTTTCCCTTTTCAGTCCCCTTAGCACCTGTGTTTGGAGAGTTTCTTCATTTTAGATACGGTAGTCCACTTTATTAACTTAGCATAATTTGTGTAGCCTGACCTCTACCTAAAGATTTTAGGTTTCTGTCCTTAAAGTTTTTACGCACTTGTGCCTATCACTTCATCTGCTTGGGTCTCAGTAATTTCACACAAATGGGATTTCTGGCATAAAGGGTATATATATATATACAGACATGCGGATCCTAGAATTCAAACTCAGGTCTTCAGGCTTGGCAACAAATGCCTTTACCTGCTGAGTCATTGTACTGACCCAGGTTGTCCCTTTTATATTTTCATCATCTCACCATGTGTATAGTAAAATGGTCCCTATACCTTCTTTTACATAGGTTTTTTTTTTAAATAAAATTTTTGTAATTATGCACATGTACATACTTGTGTGTAGAAGCCAGAGGTCAATGTCAGTGTCTCTACACCTTAATTTTTGAGACAGGTCTCCCACTGAACCTGGAGCTTATTCATTAGGTTAGACTGTCTCATCGGTGAGCTCTAGAGATCCACCTGTCTTGACATCCCTAGTTCCCCTTCCCCAAGGGCTGGGGTTGCAGATACATGCCTCTTAACCTGGCTTTTATGTGGGTACTTGAGATTCAAACCTAGGTCCTGCTTATGCAGCAAGCCCTTTACAAATGGAGCCATCTCCCCAGTCTCTTTTTTTTTTTTTTAAACATAGTTTTATCAACTTTAAATTTTGCCAATTTGTTGGGTACAAAATGTACATAAAATACAGTATTTAAAGTGTACAACTTTGATTTTTATGACCTATGAAACCATTGCCATAATCAAATTAGTGATTATACTCATCACTCAAAAGTTTATGTTCCATTGTTATCCTGCCCGTAGCCCACCTCTCTAGGGAAGAGATTTACTTGAGTCAGCATGGATTAGTATGCATATGACTTTTGTTTGAAATCATATAGTCTCCTTTTTGGTCTAGTTTCTTTCATTCAAAAGTATTATTTCAGGATTCATCCATATTATATATAATTTATCGCTTTTTATTAATGATCAGTATTTCCACTGTATTATTTTTTATTGCTTTACCTGTTTTTTGCTTTTTTTAAATTTTTAAATTTTTTTTTTTTTTGTCTTTTTCCGCCTGCCTCTGCCTCCCCAGTGCTGGGATTAAAGGCGTGCTCCACCACACCTGGCTTGTTTTTTGCTTTTTTAAGTAGTTTGTTTATTCAATTAAGTTGAAGTTTCACTGTGTAGACCAGATTGGCCTCAAACTTGAGATCCTGAGTGCTGGGATTTCCCTTGTTCACCACTCTGGGCTTCATGTCCTTGACAGTTCTTCTCCTGATTTATTATACCTATTTCTGGATTCTAGTCCATTGATCTATCTTTATGCCAGTCAAACAAATCACTGTATAACTTGAGTACAGGTAGCATAAGTCTTCCAACTTTATTTTTATTTAGTTATTTTGACTATTGTTGGGTCTGTTGCATTTCCACATATGTTTTAGAATCATCTTTGTTACTTTCTACAGAGAAATTTACTAGGAGTTTGTGATTGCATTTTGTCTGTAGATCAATTTTACCTACAGATTATTTTAACTTTAAATTTTTTTATTTATGTGTATGCATGTGTACTTCTGTGAGGATATGTGCATGTGAATGTAGTGCCCATGGAGGCCAGAGGCATTGGATCTCCTGGAACTGGAATTAACAGGTAGTTGTGAGCCACCTGATGTGGTTGCTGGCAATCAAACTCTGGTCCTCTGCAAGAACACTATGTCCTCTTAACCACTGAACCATCTCTCCAGCCGAGATTATTTATGTGTATGAGTGTTTTGACTGCATGTATGTTAAGTGTGCCCATGTCATGCAATACCCATAGAGGCCAAGAGAGGTTGTAGGATTCCCCTGGAACTGGAGTTACAAATGGTTGTTAGCCTCTGTGTGGGTGCTAGGAACTGAACCTTGATCCTCCTCAAGAGCAGCCAGTGCTTTTAACTGCTGTGCCATCTCTCTGGCTCCTGTTTTTAAAATTTTAAAATTCTATTATATGTATATGCAGGTACAAGTACATGTGTGTGTGTTCCTGGGATCTGTCTGTCTCTAACACCCAATTTGGGGGTTATAGGCACGCATGGCCATGCCCAGATTTTATGTGGAAATTTGCATTCAAGTCTTTGTGCTTACATAGTAAACACTTTTTTGGGGGGCGGTATTTTTGAAGCAGGGTCTCCCTGTAGCCCCAGCTGTCCTGGGACTCACTATGTAGACCAGGCTGGCATTGAACTCACAGAGATCCGCCTGCCTTAGCCTCCCAAGTGCTGGGATTACAGGCATGTGCCACCATGCCCTACTTAATAGCAAGCACTCTTAACATAAATTTCAATATATATGGTAGAGCTAATTCTCCTTTGTGGAATTTCTTTAAAAAATTGTGGGGGGGGGGCACTCACATGCCATGGTATAATGTGGAAGTCAGAAGACAACGTTTAGAAGTTGGTTCTTACTTTCCACCTTGCTGAGGCAGGGTCCCTCGTTTCTGCAACTATGTTTCGTACTCAGTACTCCAAGAGAGCTGATCCAAGAGTTTCCTGCTGACCAGTCTCCAGCTCCCATCTTGCCATAGGAGTGCTGGGATTACAGGTGCATGCCACAGCATCCACCTTTTACATGAGCTCCCGGGATCAAACTCGGATCCTCTGGTTTTCACAAGTGTTTTAACCTGCTGAGCCATCTCCTTAGCTCTCTTTGTGGAACTTAAGCTGGGGTGTGTGTGTGGCATATTTGTACAGGTGAGGGTTGTCTATTACATAATTTCACTTGCAGTTTTGACTGTGTATGTATATGTGGTCTTTCCTAGGGAGAAATCCGTAAATTTCATAAGATTGTCAGTAGGATGTATGATTCAAGGAATGAATCACTGATCTTTTTTTAAAAAAAAAATATTTTTTATTATTTTTATTTTATGTGTATGAGTGTATTGTCTGCATGTGTGTAAATGCACCCGTGTCTTCCAGTGCCTGCAGAGGTCAGAAGAAGGCATGAAATCTTCTGGAACTGGAGTTACAGATGGTTGTTAACTGCCATGTGGGTGCTGGGAATTGAACCTGGGTCCTCTGCAGAAGCAGTCAGTGTTCTTAACCATTGAGCCATCTCTCTAGCTTTGAATCATCTTGAGCAATAGATGAGCCTTATATTCTTAAGGCACTTGTTTGAATGTTCCCTTATAACCAAATTTATTCACTTACTTTATGTGTAATAGTGTTTTGCCTCCATGTGTCTAAGTGTACCCATGTGTACAATACTTGTGGAGACCAGAGAAGGCATCGATCAGTCCCCTGGAACTGGAGGTATAGATAGTTATTAGCTGCCATGTGGGTGCTGGGAATCGAACCTAGGTCCTCTGCAAGAGCAGCAAGTGCTCTTAACCACTGAGCCATCTCTCCAGCCCCTTTTGATAGGTTTTTAAGATGCAGTCCCAAATTTGCATCCCTAGGGAGATCCCACTTGGACACGGCATATTTTCCCTTTTACATAATCACTGAATTTAATTATTAACATTTAGATGAAGACTTTTGTGTTCCTATTCAATAGGGATATTCATTTTTAGTTTGTCTTCAATTTTTGGTCTTATTTTGGTCAGGTTAATAAAGGTTTCCTAAAGTAAGTTGGGAATTATTTCTTGTTTTCTGGAATAATTTGTGTAGAATTGATATTCTTTTTCAGAAGTTCAGACTAGAATATTCTTGAACAAATTTTCAATACAAATACAATTTCTTTAATAGATACAGAATTATTTAAGACTATTTTTTTCTTTCTTTTTTTTTTTTTGTCTTTTTGAGACAGGGTCTCCCTGTAGCCCCAGCTGGCCTGGAACTCACTACATAGACCAGGCTGGCCTCAAACTCTCAGAGATCTGCCTGCCTCTGCCTCCTAAGTGCTGGGATTAAAGGTGTGAGTCACCATGCCTGGCTTAAAATTTATTTCTTAAGTGAATTTGATAGTTTGTTTCCTTCAAGATGACACTGGGTGACACAGGATCACTTTTGCAGGCTTTTGGTCTTCTAGGTAAAATAATTGAACTTAGACAAGAATTCAAGAACAGTTTTGTTTTTAAAAAAATATTATTTATTTATAAAATAAAATTATATGTATGCATGTATTGCCTGCATGTAGGTAAGTGCACCCATGTTGTGCAGTGCCTGTGGAGGTCAGAAGAGGGCGTCAGATCCCCTGGAACTGGAATTGCGGACAGCTGTTAGTCACCATGTTGGTGCAAGAAACTGAACCCAAGTACTCTGCAAGACCAGGCAGTATTCCTGAATGCTGAGCATCTCTCCAACCTCCTCATATTTCTTTTTAACAAAAGAAAAATGTGAAGAGAAACACCACATGATGGTTAATATTCATTGTCAATTTGATCAAATTTAAAGTTGTCTAGGATATATACCTCTGAATTTGTCTGTGATGAGGTTTCCAAAAATGTTTTACTGAGAAGAAAAGACACATCCTGGGTTTGGGAAGCACTCTCCCATTGACTGGGGTCTTAGGTGGAATGAGAAACAAAGGAGAAAGTGAGGTAAGCACCCATCTTTCTGCTTCCTGACTGCGAGCACAACTTTACCAGTCATCACTCTCACTGCTGCGACCTGCTCACCATGATGGAGTATATCTTCAACCCATAAGCCAAAATAAACCTTTTCTTCGTCCTGCTGCTTGTGTAAAGTCACAGAACTTGACAAAGGAGGTTATGGCAGCGGTCTTCTTTCTCCCCCTCCTTCTGTTCCTCCTCTTTTTCTCCTTTGCTGTTGTCTGTCACTGAACCTTAGTATCATTATCACCTCCTTACACCATGTCACAAGGCAACCACAATAATTATATAACTTTGACAATATTTTCTAAGAATTTCTCCAGTTTTCTATGTTCTTTGGGCCTGTTGTCCTATGACTAGTTCTTCCACCGAGTGTAAACGTTGGTGAACACACACACACGTATGTAT